CCTGCTCCTCTACATAGGCTCCTCATAATCCTCTAACAGTTCAATAGTACAAGATAAACCGACTTCATTGTGTTTTTCAAAAGAGACTCCCTGACTTTAATGACAATTACTGACACAGCATATTCCACTTTTCAATTAGGTTCATACTTTGAGAGATGGGATTCTTAAGCACCTTTCTACTAGATAGCCCAGATCCCATAGACATGCAAAACAGTATTGTTTTCCAAAGTAATGAAATACAAATTAGCTTGAGAAAGTGCCTAATGCTAACAATGCTGCCATTTACTCAAAAGATTTTTAAAACTTGGATATCTTCAGAATATAAAATATCTTTTTTAAATAGTCTCAAAGCAGCTCATCTTCACTGTTAGAGGGTGATTTTGACTTGTTTTTAATAACTAAGAGTATACTGGAGTCATATCTAATAAACATAGTAACTTATGCTCTTTCTTCTAATCCTAGATGAATGGTTGGGGTGCTGCCTGTGGCCAGCGGTCTCAGTTCTGGGCCAACTAAACCAGAATGTAGTTTAGTTTCCTTCTAAACTACACTTGGGGAGGAAAAATCTACCAAAGAAAAAGATGACAAGTTGATCTCTTGCATGATGATAACCAAAAAAAGGGACACAGTTTTGAAGAAACAAAAGCCACAAAGTGACAACATAAAACCTTGCACTCTCAACAGGATAAGCAGCATGAGGTAGAAAGTGATGAAGTTGGGAGTAAACATGACTGAAATAACGATGAAACGCCAAGCAATGCTATTGATAAGAGTAGGAAGAAGTGGATAGTCTGGGAGAAGACAAGGTCAGATGGGGGATAGGGTGATCTGGGGAAACTAACAGAAAAAAGGAATTCAACTCTCCCATTCTCCAAATCCATTGACTCTTGTTCTCTGCCTCCACTACTAGCAACATATGCCTGTACACACTGATGCAAAGACAAGCAACCATCATCGGGGTAGTTAACCCACTGGTCTGGGGGTTATTACTTTATCTTCTTTAATTTCAAAACATGCTTTCTAAGTTTAGTATATCGTACCCAGTTCAGAGCAGGAACTATGTATATTTGACTCAATTTACAAGAACTTGCAGAGAAGATGAATTGTGCTTATTATCTTTTGGCCTCCTATTTTGGCAAAGATTTCTTCCATTTTTCAACTCCCAAGTGTAGAAAACTAATGTACAAATTCCACTGCTATGAAATAATTTACCAGAAGTCTTCATTCTCTTACTGTTTTCTAGGGAGGAAGAAACTGTGTTTTAGACACAATCTTAAAACATACATATGCTGAGACTGCACTACTTTGAAGCTTTATTTATTTTAAAATATTCATCAGAAACTCTGTGATCATCTTCAATAAACCTATAAGGCAATCTGCTGTTATGAGAACATTATGGTAGGCACAAGCACTAATCCCCTCAAAAATAAAATTGTAAATGTTATCAAAATTCTCAGAAAAACAGAAGCTCAACATTTGACTACCTTAAATATTTGTAATATATCTGATTTATGCTTAATTGTTTTTGCAACATTAAACTTTGAATGGGAAAATGAACTGGATGGGCTTTAGTATTACATATCATCAGTTTTTTGTATTTTTTTTTTAATTGCCTGGGTCACTTTCATCAGTGCAGAGTAAATTCCTCCACAACTAGGAAATATAAATTTCTTCCATACGAGCCTTTAGGTATTTATCACGGCAAACATGCAAACACACACACATAAACAAACACACCAATAAAACAACAAAAAACAAAAACAAGTTATCAAACTAATTAACTGTTCCCTACCATCTGAGATAAGACTACTGGGTTGATAATCCTGTTTTAGATAGCTGAAGTCTTTTCTGGCAGACATCAGTTTGATAACACAGGTTTACCCCTCTATCTGAAAGTTTGCTTTACGCCACTTCGCTTTTACGGAAGACCTACATAAATACCTGCTTTCATTAACCAAAAGAAATCCAAAAAGGATTTTAGCTTTTATGAAAAAAGGCAAAAATAGCATTCAGTGTTCCATTTGCAGTAAGACGTTACAGAGGCAGCACGACTGGCCCCGCTAAGCTCCTTCCCGGGGAACTACACTCAGCATCTCAGCATCAAGACGCCATAGCTCTGAACAGTGTCTTTGGGCATTTCAATTTATTCTGGTAGGTTATTTCTGGGGTCTAGGAAAGCTCAAAAATTTTTCCCATATAAATTAATGGTAATTGCTCCTTTGCTTTATGCCATTTTGGCTTATTAAAGTTTTCACAGGGAACACTCTACTTTCAGATAGCAGGGGAAACCTGTATAGATTTATAAGACTGAGTTTTCGAGTTTCCCAGTTGATCATTACTAGAACTCAGGTCTCTGCAATCCAGTACCTGTACATACCCTTGAAACAAAAGTTTTACAGAACTATGTCATGTGATATATTCATGACATTTCCTATTCCGTTATTTTCTGCTTCATTTAATTAGGGAGGGGAAAAAAGGCAACTTAGTAAATTGACTCCAGAATAGGCTGCCACTGTCAGTTTGAAAAGCACTAATCTATGAGTTGATAAATATCAGAATGTATGCCAAGGGGCAGTGGACTAGAAAACTCTACTCGATAAAACAGCCTTGGTTAATGCCAATCAACAGCCACCGCTATTATGTTCTATTCTCTTCCATTCCTTAGATATTCTCCTGTAATAACCTTCAGTTCAAACGAAAAGGATGGTAGGGGAATCCTCGAAGGTGATATAGGGTATGGCATAGCACTAGAAGCCACAGACTGGAACCTATCCTGGTCACTTCTTCTCAACAAGGCAAAAACAATATAAAATGAATACCACTCCTGAGGGACATCTGTGACTATGGGAGACATACAGTTACTGGAACTAAAACGATCCAATCAACATACACATAAATGTGTATATATTTTGTTTATTTCAGCATTTAAAAAAACTGAAACAGAAGTTTTTTTTAAAAGGTCCTCTTTTCTACATTCAGTGCACTCTGATATTTTATTTTCTATTCTAATACACGTCTTAATGCTGATTATAACCCACTAAATCAATTTCTTGACCCACTAATGAATGCGTTGAAACCTGCCAATTTGAAGAACACAGCTTTAGAGGACACTCAAATCAGTCTAGCAGGATAAGAGGACAATAGATAAATGACCAGTCTCTAGTGGTCACCTTCTTTCACCGATGAGAAAAAGCCCAAAGAATTGAAAATATCAGTCAAATAATGATTATTTAATTCTAGGAAGATCATAGGAGACAGTTTAAGACTCAGGATAAGAAAAAATGTAATAGCACCACACCCCCAAAAAAGAGGTTTCTGACCTGGCATTTAATAATCATCACCACTGTTAATCTAACAATGGCTTCCTACATGCTCAACACTGAACTAAGTATGTATATAATTTTTAAAAATGTGCATGTGTGTGTATATATATACATATATATACATGCATATATACTCATACAAATATAAATCATATAATTATATATTTAAGTTATTATATTTTTAATAAATAAATGTGTATTTTTTTCCTAGATCATTCTTACAACCTGTTAAAATAACAAAGTAAATGTTAGATCTAAAACACAGGTCAGTTGGCCCCAGAGTCTAAGCTCTTAACCACTAAGCTATAAACTCTTCCAAAGGGAACAGGAGTTCCCAACTCTGGCTGTGCATCAAGAATCCTCTGTGAAGTTAAAACAAAACAGATGCCCAAGTGCTACCCCAAAAAGAGATTTTTAAAGTTAAGTAGCAAACATTAAAGAGAAATATATTTTGTAAACAATGTATCAAATACCATCTCCAACCCATTATGTCAGAAAATCTCTTTTTGGAGAGGAGATACTATTGTACGCCATCAGACATAAAATATCTGATTGAACTGAATGATTGCCTTGGTTAATAAGCAGCTGACTTTACCTTGAAACTTAATTAGATCACTGTCATTATAGACAAGAATTTAATATAAAGTAGTTTTGTCTTAGGATTAATAATTAAATTCCATTAAGAATTTAACTGCTGACATGTCAAAACGATCTTAACATAAGGTAGCCTAAGTGATGAAAATTATGGACTGCACCAGTGTATTTCTATTAAACTTATCTATCCATGATTTAAACCTCTATCTTCCCAACATGTTTTCCTTCATTACCTAAAAGATAAAGAATTCTGAACCCAATGTAACATTAATGCACTAAGCAGTCCCCCTGGGTTGATTCACTTCCACCACCCTTAAGAAAACATTTAGTAGCAAGCACACAGTAAAAAATTAGGAGGTTTCCAAGATTTCAAATAATTAAGAAATGGTTTTGACTACATCACTCAAATAAAATGTTGTGAACATAAAAACCTTTAAGATTTTTGATGGTTAAGTGGGTAATACGAAACCTAGAATGACCCTTACTAGTGGCCACAAATAACAGTAGGCCTACATACCACAAACACATGAATGATTACTGCATACATTGGTAAAGAGACAATAATCTCACTATTAATAGAGAATCACTCATTTTCCTCTCAGTAAAAATTCTTTGTAAAAGACAAAAACAAGCACAAACTATAAATGGATTATTTTGTTTGGTCAAATTAATACCCCAACTAAAGAATTTATCGAATTATTTCTTGTCCAGGCTACCATGAAATGACAGCACTGCAGAGAAACTAGTCTATGATGTAAACCAGAAAGATAATTACAGACTAACACATGAATAATCCCTAAACTATTTGGTGAAAGAAATTATAGCCCATTACTACCAAAATCTAGGGAAAATATCAACCCCAGTGTCTTCTATAACCATATCTCAAAAAGAAAAAAAAAGAAAATTCAATCATCAAGCTTGTGATACAAGGGTTTTCTAAACAAAAAATACTATTACTATAAATCCATAACCACATCCGCAATCTAAATATTAAAATCTTAAATATGTGATAATTAAATACAGAATCATGAGCTTTCATTCTATCCATGACTTTGAGGTCACTGGGAGATTTCTAAAGCATACCTTTTAATCCACGCCATGGTACTTCAAGAACATGTTAAGGTAAGTCACAGCTTGGAACACTTCGATGCACCTCAAAACACCTCAGCCAGTGTATCTGTATCATTCTCCTTTCCTTTTGAGATCATAATGGTTCCGAAGAACTATAATGCTTCCATTTGAATGATAGTCTCATAATTTCAATGACTTAAAAACAAAAACAAAAAATAAGGACTTAAGTGTTGATATGTTACGCGACTAGTGCACTGTGTTAACTGCTGCCATGACTAAGAAAAACAAAGAAGCTGCTGCTACTACTATGTAATACTGTCATTGTTAATGTGAACCCTCACATGAATGAGGAGGAGCACACGCTTAGCAGTCAGAGGGACAGCCCTTGCTTTACTGAGACGTACAGGAAAACCCTAGAATCTCTTTGCCAACTCATTCTAACTCAACTTATTCTTCAGTTTTCTTCTCAAGGAATGAAAATAACTTAAAAGATGGATCTGAACACTTGATAGGTGCCAGGTCCACCTTTGACTGACCAACTATTCTATTCCGTGTTGAATCAAAGCTAGAAATCACCCACACACCTGTGTAAAAGGGAATTCATTAACAGACACAGGAGGGCTTCCTTCAAACAAGGCCCCTCCTGGTGTTACCATTACTGAATCATTTTAATTCCATGGTAGTCATTAAACTGAAAAGAGCTCCAGTTTCTAAAGCCTACTTCTATAAAACGAATGATATAATGAACAGATAGAAGGCTAACTATCAAGTTTCACTGCTGCTCTGTGATTGCCTTGGCAGATCATCTGTCCCTCTTTCCTCCTCACCCCACCCCACCTTTCTTATATAAAAACATTAAAAACATCTCATTATTACAATGATACAGTAAGAAGTCTATGTATCACATTTTAAATCTAAGAATTCACTCCCCTTTTGCTTCAAGTTTGGCACTCTATAGTTACAACAAAGAAAAAATACTTAAGGTACATAAAGAAAGTAAAACTGATAAATTATCAATAATACACACATTTATGTCATAAAGCAATTAAAATTACTTTAAGATGACTGATGAGGAAATTTTTAATGAAAACAAGCGATAAAAAGGGCTTCCAGGGGCCGGCCTGGTGGTGTAGCTGTTAAGTGCGCACGCTCCACTTCGGCAGCCCAGGGTTCATGGGTTCGGATCCCGGGCGCGCATCAACACACCACTTGTCAAGCCAAGCTGTGGCGGCGTCCCATATAAAGTAGAGGAGGATGGGCATGGATGTTAGCCCAGGGCCAATCTTTCTCAGCAAAAAGAGGAGGATTGGCAGATGTTAGCTGAGACCCGATCTTCCTCACAGAAAAAAAAGGGGGGGGAAGTGGTGCTTCCAAGAAAAGAAAGTAGCTGGGAGAGGTTCTGTGATACTCTGGGTTTGTGGAACAGCTCGTGTAAAGGTTAACAGACAAAGAATGGAAGATAAAGTTTCCCAGCTAGAGCTAAAAAGTATGTGCTAAGGAGAAAATGAAACTACGTATTTCCTGATTGAAAGGGTAGATTCAACTGATGAAAACCTTTCAAGTCCACTGTCAGAAAAAATTACATATTTCTGGGATTTAGATTTATTGCAGGTTGTGGGGAATGCAGATTACAAAATGTAGGTCACTCTTCAGAAAGCTGATAATGGCGGCAGAATTGCACATAGGAAAGAACTCTAGCAGAGTAGGTGGGAAGAAACTAATGAAGAACAGAAACAAGGGCCCTGGACCAATGAAATCACTGCAGCCACAGCCATCTTTCTAAACTGATCATTTTACCACATTAGTGCAACCTCCTGGCTGTTCCCACCCCAGCTTTAAAACACTTAATGGCTCTGTACATGTATACAACCTCCTGGAAGGACACCCACATTGTTTCCTATACTCTGCTCCTCCAAGCAAATGCACCCTACACACAACTATAGGTTAATGTTCCTGAAGTACAGCTCCTCCTCTGCACATAAAGAATAAGGTTAACCATTGGGAAATAAGGCAGGATATAAATACGTTAGATAACAAAGTAAAGAATGAAAGCCTAGGTCTGAAGCACTTATTACCTCATTTAATTTTCATAACCCCATTTTACAGAAGAGAAAACTGAGACTCTGTGGTCAAGTGACTGACTCAAGAAGACGCGCAATAAGAGAAAAGAACTAGGACTTAAATCTAGATCTTCTAGCTGAAATTTCAGCACTTTCTACTACAATATTATCGTAGAATATTGTTGGGGGAAAGGGCTAACACTTGTTGACAATACGCCAAGTACCATGCTAAGCACTTGATGTTTCTATTTCATCCTGATCTACCACTCATAAGACTAACTAGTTGCTCCTTTTACAGGTGAGGAGACTGAGGCTCAGATAAAGTAATCTGCTCAACATCACACATCTGAGACTGAAAGTAATCGGACAGATATTCGATCTCACATGTCCAACTCTAAAACCTACACTCATGTTGCTACGCCAATCTATCTTCCAGAAAAGCAATCAGAAGAAATCAAGTCCAACACTTAGGTTTATTTAACATTATAAATGATTCTCACTCAAAACCCAGTTAATGCATATAAACAGACTTTTAGCTATGGTTTAGCAAGAGACACATTTACTAAAGCCATTAAGAAGGATCAGAATCTTATTTAATCACTCAAATCAGAAACTTCATTTGATTCCTACAAATGAATTCCAGTATTTTCATGAAGTTATACACGTGAAGACCTTTTAAAGTTGACTTTAATCATAGTGCTGATCAATATAAATTTTAGTTGACAAAACAAAAATGAGCATGAAAGGTATTTTCCTTAAGAAGGCACACTGCCAAATTTTCCCAACTTGGCCCTGTCCCACGGACTGCTACGAGTCTTAGCTTCATGGGAAGAGAAACCGTTTACTAGCTGAGGGACGTGAGGCCATTCAGTCGAGTAAAAAAAAAAAAAAAGACAAAAAAGCAGATAGACAGCTCTCTACAGTGCTTCAAAACTTGATTAACCTAAAAGAGTAACCAAAAGCACTGAAAAAATCCCCCAAATTAAGGACAGGAAACTCCTAAGCAACTTCAAGATCTGAATGGAAACCATGCACTCACATTGCATTCCAAAATTAACTGCAGAAGCGATCAACAGAACTACTATGCCAATGTTTGGTAACAAATTAGATGAATCAAAGAAACCATTTCTTAAATTTCTGAAACAAAATCTTGCAGAATTACATTCAAGTGTTCAAAACTGTCACAGCAATAAACTTAAATGGTCATTTAAAAAATACCTTCATCAGTAACAGCATAACTCATCTGTATAACTCATTTTACAAGCATTAATGTCCAAAATAGTGTATTATGGTAAGAACGCTTATCAGAAATTCTGATGCCCAACTACACACCTTTTAATTGCAAAATTAATGTGTAATAAAGACCATATGCAAACTGTTTACAAAACATTTCACTTCTTATAGGAAAGACAGAAATGTCAGAAATACACTTCCATGCCAGTTGTTACAGTCTCCTTCTCTATGCTGTGTCCGAAGGAGGCAGCTTTTGTCTTTGGTCTTTATAAACCTATTATCTACCCGCACACTAAACACTAATGACATAAGTATGTGACAATGTTACACACCCCATTTTGGATACATGATTGACAGCTAAATATAGAACATTCATGATGCCCTCTAAAACACAGTAGGCACGCAAACATTTGTTGAGGGAAGGGAAGAAAATATTTAGGAATGGCTTACACATGCTGCAATGGCAATGTCAAGGACAACAGACTTTGAAATGAGATAATTTAAAGTCGCCATTTTTTGACCACTGAATTTTGTTTGCTTTGCTTTTGACTACTGAATATGTAACACACAATGCTTATGAACGTATAAGATCGGCACTACTACTAAAGCATAAACTTCAGGAAAGTAATTAGAAACAGATGCCAATAACTTCAAACTTTTATGCTTTTACAAACTGCCTTAATAGTAATCTGAAATGACAATAATGAATGCATTCTGATGTTCAATGCAATATTACGAAGAAAGGACTGGGAATTTCTTTCCAACAACAGGGAAATGATTAAATTATGGCACATTCATATGATGGAAATAGTGAATAATATTGAAATTTATAACATGGTAGTATATTAATTATATACAAGCTAATTAACTATATATAATTAGTGTTTTCCCATATTACATGTTTGTATATATTTATATTTTAATAAGCACAGAAAATTATAAATATAAATATGTAAGTTCCATGAGATCAAAAACCATTTCAGATGTTATCTCCAGCACTTAACACAGTGCCTTCAATAAAGCTTGGTGGTTAGAAGAATGGGCTCTGAAGAAAAGCCCACTTGGGTGTGAATCCCAGATCCACCACTTACTAGTTACCCAACGTCAGGCAAGTCAATTAATCACTAGGTACCTTAGCTACTCCTTTTGAAAAAAAATGGGATTAAAATAACATTCATGTAATGGAAGGAAAAAAAGAGTTAATACATGTAAAGCATTTAGAACCGTATCTAGAACACAGTGGTGACCCAATGAATGGAAGTGCGGTGGAGAAGGGAGGAGAAGCAGTGGCTTCTCAAATACCTGAGTAAATGAATGGATTCTATTTTTTGTTGATTGATTGATTGATTGATTGTGAGGAAGAGCAGCCCGGAGCTAACATCTGTTGCCAATCCTCCTCTTTTTTTGCTGAGGAAGATTGGCCCTGGGCTAATACCCGTGCCCATCTTCTTCTACTTTATATGTGGGATGCCTGCCACAGCATGGCTTGATAAGTGGTGCGTAGGTCCATGCCTGGGATCTGAACCCATGAACCTCTGGCCGCAAAAGTGGAGCACGAGAACTTTACTACTACACCACTGGGCTGGCGCCCAATGGCTTCTATTTTTAAAGTACACATAGAAATGTTAGTAAGCATACACAAAAATTAAACATGGTTTTTCAAACTCTGCTTACCTCAACCAAAAGTAGGTTTTTATATAACAATCCAACACACATTTATACACATTCAGGTACATATAATCTATTCTATTCTATGACGTGAATTTACTTAGATGCTGGTCGTAACCCACTAAACTGATTTCACAACAATTAGTGGGTCACTTTCTAAATGATGGACTCAAACAATTTCTCCTTTATTTTTGTCCTTCAACTTTACTTTTCTTAACAAGGGGCAAGAAAATT